ATGTGTCACAACAGTGCAATGTCACTATTGTCATGTGTCACAGTGTCTTGTGTCACAACAGTGTTATGTCACTATTGTCATGTTCTCAACAGTGTCATGTGTCACAACAGTGTCATGTGTCACAACAGTTGTAATGTGCCACACAAGTATAATGTTTCACATGAGTGTACTCTGTCTTTACAGCGAAAATAATCTATATTGTCAACCTGTCCGTCTCTAAGCAAAATTCAAAAATGCGACATATGGTAAATTTGTATCCGTTCCGTTATGACATGATACATTGTTCCAATAAAGTACAGCCAAACTCATGTGAAACATTATACTTGTATGGCACGTTACAACTGTTGTGACACATGACAATATTGTGACACATAACACTGTTGTGACACAAGACACTGTGACACATGACAATAGTTAAATAGTGTACTGTTGTGACCCATTACACTAGTGACATTACCCTGTTGTGACACATGACAAGAGTGACATTACACTGGTGTGACACATTACACTAGTGACTGTACACTGTCGTGACACATGACAATAGTGGCATTACACTGTTGTGACACGTTACACAAGTGACATTACACTATTGTGACACATGACAATAGGGACATTACACTGTTGTGACGCGTGACAATAGTGACATTACACTATTGTGACACATTACACAAGTTACATTACACTGTTGTGACATATGACAATAGTGACATTACGCTGTTGTGACACATTACACTATTGACATTACACTGTTGTGATACATGACAATAGTGACATTGCACTGTTGTGACACATTACCCAAGTGACATTACACTGTTGCGACACATTACACTAGTGACATTACCCTGTTGTGACACATGACAACAGTGTAATGTCACTTATGTAATGTGTCACAACAGTGCACTATTTCACTATTGTCATGTGTCACGACAGTGTACAGTCACTAGTGTAATGTGTCAAAACAGTGTAATGTCACTAGAGTAATGTGTCACAACAGTGCACTATTTCACTATTGTCATGTGTCACAACAGTAACAGTGGTATGTGTCACAATATTGTCATGTGTCACAACAGTACACTTTTTCACTATTGTCATGTGTCACAGCAGTGTCATGTCACTATTGTCATGTGCCACAACAGTGTAATGTCGCTATTGTCATGTGTCACAACAATGTAATGTCACTAGTGTAATGTGCCACAACAGTGTAATGTCACCATTGTCATGTGTCACAACAATGTAATGTCACTAGTGTAATGTGCCACAACAGTGTAATGTCACTTATGTAATGTGTCACAACAGTACACTATTTCACTATTGTCATGTGTCACAACAATGTAATGTCACTAGTGTAATGGGTCACAACAGTACACTATTTAACTATTGTCATGTGTCACAACAATGTAATGTCACTAGTGTAATGGGTCACAACAGTACACTATTTAACTATTGTCATGTGTCACAGTGTCTTGTGTCACAACAGTGTTATGTGTCACAATATTGTCATGTGTCACAACAATGTAATGTCACTAGTGTAATGGGTCACAACAGTACACTATTTAACTATTGTCATGTGTCACAATAGTGTAATGTCACTTGTGTCATGTGTCACAACAGTACACTATTTCACTATTGTCATGTGTCACAATAGTGTAATGTCACTATTGTCACGCGTCACAACAGTGTAATGGCACTATTGTCATGTGTCACAATAGTGTAATGTCACTTGTGTAATGTGTGACAACAGTGTAATGTGTCACAACGGTGTTAAGTGTGACAACAGTGTAATGTGTCACAACGGTGTTAAGTGTGACAACAGTGTAATGTCACTTGTGTCATGTGTCACAACAGTACACTATTTCACTATTGTCATGTGTCACAACAGTTGTAACGTGCCACACAAGTATAATGTTTCACATGAGTGTACTCTGTCTTTACAGCGAAAATAATCTATATTGTCAACCTGTCCGTCTCTAAGCAAAATTCAAAAATGCGACATATTGTAAATTTGTATCCGTTCCGTTATGACATGATACATTGTTCCAATAAAGTACAGCCAAACTCGTTAATTCTTGAGTTCATTAAAAACAGCGGATCAGCAAATTTCTATGTTGCGTATCTCTATTAAAGCTCCTTGAAAACTGAAGTACAAAATAACGTATACATTTCTTTTCTATTTACGAAAGCAAGCACGCAAATGGATTGGAGAGTTTGGAAAATAAAAAAAAAACACTGTAACTTTAGATGATTGGATTTCAGTTTATCTATAACTTGGTCTTTATGACGCTCAAAGAAGTGCAAATCACATTCAATCTCCATGTACATAGCACGCATACTTGAACAACCCATTACATAAGTAATTACAGTACATGCCTTAATATACATGATGGTAATAGCATTAAACTGTTATGGTATAGACAACCATAGTCATTGACAAGCAATCACAGGTACTTGAATTTAGCTCGTAACTAAAATAATGATCGTTTTTATCCCATCAATGCGCCATCTTAATCTCTTTAGTTTTATGAATTTTAAATCATTACATCTTTTATTTGGTTACTCAATACACGCTCACAAGAAACAGGCAATGTCTACGTGGGTTGTTACATCAGTTAACAGTGGAAATAGAAAGGGCTTATACCCTCTAGGCTGAGAAAACCTGGCATCTTAACCGCAGCGGCATTTTTGTAATAATCATTACATATGTGTATAATTTCTTTACACTTTAATTTAATAACGTTGTATCCGTGTGTACTTGTTTGCACTTATCCGTAAAATGTCATACATTTCCGCACGCTAGTTTATCTACATTAAACACATTCGTAATATATACGTAGTGTTGTACTATATATATGTATATAGTGTTAAGTAAGAGATAAATGGTACGTGTATATATGTAACAGAGGAAAAACAACACAACGCAAACACTTACACGTGACGTATGTTACCGCCACACCAGTGTAATTAGGGTACGTAAACATGACGTAAGTCAACGCCCCTGTCCCACTGTGGGGATAACATTAGTAAAATTCCAATGTAGTTGTTTGTACATAGAGTAATCTCCCCTTAATTTCGGTTTAGTGCAGCGCGACTGGGTCAATGCAATAACGTGGACCAGATAACTCAGGTTATATATATATATGTATATAAATCGGTGACCATATAACTCAGGTTATAAATATATATATATATATATATATATCAGTGACCAGATAACTCCGGTTATATTATGTACATATATATTAATTTAGATATATGTATACATGTATATATATATATATATATATCGGTGACCAGATAACTCAGGTTATGTATATATGTATATATATCGGTGGTATAATAATATATATACTAAATTTTTCCTCTGTTACATATATACACGTACCATTTATTTGTTTATTTATGACGTCACTAAAATTGTTGACTATACAAATATTGATGACGTCATGTAACCAACGGTGATAAATAAACATCAATCCGCCTGAAGAAGCCCTAGAAGGCAGAAAGGCCTAGCGGACGATCTGAAAAAAATGTTTTTATTGTATATATATATCAGTGACCAGATAACTCAGGTTATGTATATATGTATATATATCGGTGGTATAATAATTTGAGGTCCAGGGTTCGAATCCTTGTCAGGTCCATTCGCATTTTTACCCTGAAAAACCCAGTTGATATTTTTGTGTATGTTTTCTTTTTTTTTTAAGAAATTAAATTATGAAAGTAATAGTCAGAAGTCGTAACAGTGGGGTGGGTGTGTGGGTAGTGGAGGGGTAGTGGAGGGGTAGTGGGGGTTGTGGTGGAGGGGTAGTGGATGGGTGGTGGAGGGGTAGTGGAGGGGTAGTGGAGGGGTAGTTGGGGGGGTAGTGGTGGAGGGGTAGTGGGGGTACTGGTGGAGGGGTAGTGGAGGGGTAGTGGGGCGAGGGAGTTCAATACATAGTTACAGAATTGGCCAGTGACATCCGTAGATTAACAATCAGTGTATCAGAGCGATATAAACTTTTTGTAGCAATTGCTACTTTATCCTTTATTTTTGTCATCCCTTGAGGTATCCCCGTACCACTACCAAATACAGTAACTATGTGTTGGAAACTGTTTCTTAATCAATAATAGTTTTATGAAAGGGACATACTTTCAAAGGGGCTAGACCAGGAATCGATCACTGGTCACTTCAGATTGTTATACACTCGCTGTAACCGATAAAACGGAAGTGACCTGGCCCATTTAGCTGTTGGCGAGAATGTTTAACCCTGATTTAAAAAATCACTTAAACTGACACAAAACACTTGTGACATGGAGGTCAGTGAATGAATTCATCTGGGGTACATATGACTAATATAATCAGTCACACGAATAAATACATCTACATATGTACGTATATTTTCTAAGCTTGTTTGTCAATCCCTCTGAAATTGCATGTATATAATAACATTGCCTAATTATTGAGTTAAATACCGTTTAAACCAAACCCCATTGTGTTTCGATCTTTGTGTCATTGTATCGTGATTATACTGTTGCAAAAATCCGGTTATTAGTTCTGTTCAATGTCGCTAGTAAAAACTCAAGTTGCAACAGAATCTTCGCATCACAAGATAAAGCTATCATATAAATAAACTAGAATACCAATCCAAAAGTAGTTGAAACACAAGGAGGTCGAGGAAATTAATTTTAAATACATGTACAATTGCAGAGGAACAGAATTTGGTATATCGGATTAAAATAACGGTTTAAAATGGATTAAACAAACAATATATATTGTTTGGGTGTAAAAAAAAAAAATTAAAAAAAATGAATAAACAAAAATAAAATACAATGTACAATACGTATATGTAATATGCAATCAATCTTTCTAACAATAGTTTATATAAAAATAAACATTGGTTGCACAATCGTTGTAAAACATTCCAGGTTGATTTAAATTAAACGTATCGCCCCTCCTGGGCTGCCGTATAATAATGACTCTACCAATGAGTCACGTGTTCTTCTATATAAACAGACGAGCACGGACTCAACCTCTCATTCCCCGACAGACCAAGCAACGTGGTACACGGAAGAAGTACATCTAAATTAACAATATGGCGTCTGTATTTGAAGGAACATGGGAAGGAACACAACCCATTGGAGAAGGCGAAGGATTTGCTAATTTCTGCAAAGCGATGAGTATGTTTTATACCAATGAAACTTATAATTGATTTGTTATTATAAGAAATTTTGATAACTTCTTTTATTTAGAAATATGCGCTTACATTTCGTTATACTGACAGTATTTGTCAAGTCAAATTTGACGTAATGTCTAGTTAGTCAATATATCGAGGGAAATCTATAAAAGCATTGTAAACAAAAAACCCTAAACAAATTGACCTTGAACTACATTGGCGGTAAGCGAGATGACAAAAAAGGATGGCACTATATCGAAGTTTTAGGTAGAACAATACGAAAACTTTGGCTTAACAGTGTCCCAGATTATTGATACAGCAACTGCCTCTTAAAATGGATTCAGGTCTGAAATAATTGTCGTTCGAAAACTGATGTTTCCGGAATAATGTTTGTCGGAGAACGAATAGATCTGGATACAAACAGTCCGTGTTTATTTTCGAACTTATAAATATTTGAAATATGTATCGCATTTCTTACTCCGTTATGAGAGATGGTCGGTACGGAGTACCAAATGAGTGTCTTCCATTTTGTATGCGTTGTTATTAACTTAGTAGTGCTAAGTATTTGATCGCGACGATTTGTTTTTCTTTTGAAGATATCGAAGAAGTACCGGATGTGTTATATATATGTATCAAAGTTAATTTGTTTTATAAAATATCAATCTACGTCGTCATTCTTCATTGCCATAAGCATTGTCAGCTTTTTATGTTTTTGATTTGATTTGATGTTTTGGATGGGTTTATTTTTTATTTTTTATTTTGTCATTAGCATTACCAATCCTTCCTCGTGCACATTTTAGTCCTCTTTGTTATAAGCATTGCTATTTTGTTTGTTGTCAAGGGCAACGAAAATGGACTACGACAGAAAAAAAATGACTAACTAAATAGCCAATTGTCAAGTCAATATGTAGATTAGCGCTAACAAGTACTGCATTGTCAGTTAAGTGGTGACAAATATAGCCCTACTTGCATTACAATATGGGCAAGATACCGACGAGAGTTCGGTGTACAAGGAAGAGACCAATCACGAAGTACGACAAAAATAGATTAATTTAGATTATATCTGAAATCTGAACCGCGTTCTTTCTGACTTTTTTGTCTGACGATGACGAAGTGTATAGACGTGAAGGGAGATACCTGTATACCCTGTTAAAGGCGATATAGATAAGGTTACACTGGCCTAGACCATTCGACGGACACATCTCTTCACTGTGAATTCGAAACATTGTCTTATTATTTTTTTGTGTTTCGTATAATTTGAATGGATTTCTTTTTAAAGATAAACGGCAGATATTTTATATAAATGTATTTGGAGGGATAAGACTGAAATAGCAATTCAAGGTAAAGAAATCAATAGGGCCTAATCACAGCAGAACATATCATTCGAAGGAAGGTAACTCGTAGTTTCGATTATAACCCCCGCCTATCCAAATCTCGTGCAATGTCAAATACATATTTGACATTGTTGCTAATTTTATGACAACTAAATTCAAAATAATCGTTGTGATCAACGTCTTGCATAAGATAACGATGGACATGTTTAATGATGTAATAAATGCAGCTTGTCCGTTGCCATGTTGTAATGCGCGACCGTTCGTTCGTATCAAAAAACGTTAGTCAATTTTTTTAGAAACCTCATTGTGAAGCAATTAACAAAAACCTGCATATACTATTTATGATTCGTCACGAGGGCATTGTATTTTTTTTTTAAAGTCTGCTTTCGTTACATTCGACAATCAAAGATGATACACGTAAACAGAATCTCTGCTTTGAGTTCCGGATTGGATGCCCGTGTCCTGTATGTGTTTTACATGTGACGTAGAGGGAAAATGTCTTGTCGATTGACAACCCTATTTGCGAGGTTGTCGAAAAACTCTTGATAAAACACCTTTCCACCTAGCTAAGACCTGTTCAATTTAGAGGAAATAATAAGCTTGTCGCAGGTGGCGAATAATGTAGCATTATCCTAACCCACCCGCCCCTACTGCAGACTCGGCTGATGGTTTCACCTCTGTCGTCTGTTTAGGGGATATTGAAGAAACCAATAATAATAATAATACAAAAAGTTCGAGGCTCTTATATACCGCTTAATCATAACCTAGTTTGTAGGTCGTCTCAAAGCGGTTCACAAATTATTATCCGTGGTAATAGGGCATTTGCAACAAGCCAATACCTCTCTCAACTCCCTGGGGAGCATACAGTCGGTGCTGCCATTTCGGCGCACACAGCTAGCATTCTATAATTCTATCACTGTACAATCACGTACTCATTTACAGCTGAATGGACTGGAACAAGCGGAGTAAAGTATCTTGCTCAAAGATACAACACAGTGCCGTAACTCGAACTCGCAACCCTTCGGTCACGAGCCCGGCATATCACCTGCTGTACCACTGCAGTTGTATAGTAAACGGCGAATCCCCTCCATCTTTATATTCAAAGAACTGTACATGGAAAAGACCAAGATTGATTTGCTGTTAATTGCAACACCCCAGATATTTTCGCTTCCTATCATCCCTTTATGCTTTCTCTCTTTCTTATTTTCTCTCTCTTTCCGGTTGTGTTTCTTTAGGTACTCGTTCTGAAACGGCTGTTCGAGTACGTTCAGCCATAAACAAACACCTGGCTTGCCGCCAATATATACATTAATATGTATCTCTTGTTCCGTTTTTTAGACCTGGTATACTAGGTAGTGTGTGAGACTGTAGTCTGACATGTTCCATAGTGACCCTATATAGACCTGGTATACTAGGTAATGTCTGAGACTGTAGTCTGACATGTTCCATAGTGACCCTATATAGACCTGGTATACTAGGT